TTATAATTAGTTTTAAATCAATATCACTGGCGATATTCTGCTATAACATGTGAAGTAAAGAATAAAACTGTAAAGCTCAACTTTCATAGACGTAAAACCTTTCAAATTTCAAGTTCTGCACGTTGGAATTGAGGCGGAGTTAACTGGGGTTTATCTTCCTACTCCGTGCGCGCTCCCGACGAGGGGATACAAATTTTGGCAGGGATAACTACCTTGGCACGACACCAGTACGGTAATTTCGCATTCTGCTTACTTTTTTCCATATAGTCAGAGAAACAAACTCAATCCTTTAGTCCTTCGTTTAGCTATGCTGCGGTTTTTTACACTACGCCTTTTCCACCAAAAATGGCGTCTTAGCAACAAATGTCACGTGACTGGCGGAGACCGATTGTCAGAAAACCCCATAATACCTCTTTAAGGAATGAACTGCATCTACATAACACAAATGAGTGTGAATGTTATATGATCCTTAGAAATAAAACCAGTTGCCCACAATCACATTCAGTGGTGTGGAAAGACTTTTTGAAGGGATGGGGCCAAAAAGAAAAAAAGGGCAAATGTTTTGGCTCCAGAGAGGATAATTTAGCACCCGTTTTGACACTAGAGAGAAAGGGCACTTTAGCACGCACTTTGACTACAAAAAACGTCCATTAACATGTGCTTTGACTCAAGATAGGGCCCTTTTGCAAATGCTATGGCTCCTGCAGTCGTACTTTAGCACCTGCTTTAGCTTCAGAGAGACCTCTACTTCACAGAGAGCGGGCATTTGAGCCCATACTTTGGCCCGAGAGAGGGCCCTTTAGAGAGGGCACTTTAGCATGCAAATTTGGGTCAAGAAACCGGCCTTTAGCATGTGCTATGGCTTCTGAGCTTCTGAGAAATTTCAAAGTCGTCCTGGATTTTGGTTGACTACAGTCCTGCATGTAGTTGAAACACACCGGGCATTCCAACCAAGCTGTCAGCTCTGGGGTAGACCCAGGCAGGTGGGGGGAAGCACGGAAAAGGCTTTGCACCGGGTCGGGTTTGGTCGCTCCGTCCCTGGCAGGCTCGGTTCGAATTCCCGGTCCAGTCCAGTCCCCCAAAAAAAGTGTCCTCCTTTTCATAAACCCAAATCTGGTCACCATACTTTAGCTTCCATTTTGACTTCTGAGAGGGTCCTTTAATATGGGCTTTGACTCGAGAGAGAGCACCTTAGCATGTATTTTTTGACTCCAGAGAGGGCATTTTACCACTTAAGCATGCACTTTGGCTTCAGATATGAACTTTTGGCACCTGTTTTGGCTCCAGAGAGTACACTTTAAAACCCATCCTTACCCACTATGCCCACATCACTGATCAAATTGCCACTAAAGCAGAAATTGGTGTCAGCCTGATGAGGGCTGGGTATTATAAACTTATATTGTTATTTAGTTAGGGGGTATCAAACTTAATGACGTAAAGGTATTTTTTTTCAATCAGCAGTGATTTGTATGACTATATCCAAAACATTAGCCCAGCAGCTGCAGATCAGCAAATCTAGAGACATATCTACCAAAGGGTGAAAATTGTTTACCTCTAATTGAGGGCTTTAATAAGCGTTCTATTGAAACTTGGAAGCTTTTGTTCAAACAGTCCAGAAAATAATGAGTTGTAATGGAAGATAATGGCAGTGCACAAAAGTGATTGCTACATTAATTCCTGACATTTCCTCCCACATACTCTCTAAAGACTACAAACAAAGAGTGATTGGGGGGTTTGCAGGCTACCAACCTTGCCATGGTTCTATTACTGAAAAGAGGTGGCTTGGTGCCAATGAGCTTTCCTTGTCATGCTGTGTGTCCAATCTGTGTCCTGTGCTGACTAAGATCTTCCATTCCTCATATCTGCATGTTAGATTAAATATTTACTGCTTATGATTTAAAATAATGATCAAGAAAAATAAAATTTCTGATAATGCTATGAATTTGCATGAGTTTATGTTGAAATTCCTCTTTCTTGTTTGCCCTTATTAAAATTCAGCACCAGTTGTGCATTAGAAGCCGTGTTTACGAGTACGCAGAGACAAATAACTAGTCGAGTTACATAATAGCTTGGTTACACATAAAGCTTTTGGAAAGAAATGCTCATTGCAGTGGACACTTTTAATATCATTCTGGTTTCCGTTTGGCACAGAGGGGACTTGTGTGCCTTTACCAGCGCCAGCTTGGTGCAGGCAGGTTTCGTTTTAGCACCCCAGCGGGTATGGTGAAGATCATTGCATTGGCCAGATAAAGAGAGGGAAGAAAGGGAGGTGCAAACAGAGTGAAAGAGATATGGTGGAGAGGAAGTGTTAACTTGAGTAACGGGATTATGTGGAATGCAGTGAAGGGGAGAGGGCCTGTGTCCGCTTGTTCAGCTTTTGCTCTGGTCAAATATTACTTGAATGGATGAAAAATACCGGCATTCACTTTTAGTGAGTGATTATGGGTGTTCTCAGAGCAGGATGGAGTTATATCATGTTTTTCCAGATCATAATGGTCTAAAAAAATGAAAATGAGAGAATTTGAATAGAATTTTTTTTTATCTGGCAATCAAAGCGGTTACAGAATTACAAAACTTTTTGAAATACATGAAAATTATGCTTTAGTTCGTAGTACTGAATCCTGTCATATTTGTTTGTGTTTGTTGCTTTGAATAGTACTGAGATAATAATATAAAGGGTTGGAAATATTGTGTTCTGCTGCATCAGGACAGGATAATCTTATAGTTTTATTCATACTTATGGCTTTTTTCATTGTACTAGTACCCTAATCCTAATATATAACAGGACAGTATGTACAAAAAATATTGCTTTAATAAATACATACATATATACATAAATACATATTTTGCTAAATTCTAATAACATCATATTAGAAATGAAAGTGTTCTTATAGTTCAGAAGTAGTAGTTTATAAATGCATAGAGGGTGGTGTACCTAGAGGGAGACGTCATGTTGCGTCACCATTTTTGATCAGAGTAGCTTAAATGGGACAAAATTCTCAGCCTTGCTTGTTTTATCTGTATCTGAAAATGTGTTTAGGTGCAGGAGGAGTTTAAGGATCAACTAGACTCAGAGAGAGATCAAAGTGCTTTGTGGATGCCATACAGTTGTCAGATAATTGTTGACTAAATTAAAGATGTTCAAGCAGTCACTTCAACTTTCCTTCCTTAAGCACTTGGAAAACAAATCTTTATCAGCAGATACAGCCCAGCAACTAAAATGTTATTAAAACCCACCACAGCGTCACTAACCTGGTCAGTAAATTGTGTTTTTCACAGAATCAAATCTATGGTAAAGCAATGCCAGAACCATATCTCCTATTACACTGTCTTTCTATTGTATTCTTGCTTTCATTGCCATTATAAGAGAAGACAGTTATGCAATACAGTGAATGTTCTGCTTTTTACTTAATATCACTAGGATTTAAAAAAGCCAATATAATGTAACATACTTAGGTTAGCTAGCCTGTAATGGACTGCTTGTCCCACCTAATGGCTTCTTACCACGCCTACTGTTGCTTTTAAAACTCTGTCAATGCTGTACACTTGTTTCTAGTCATTGGAATGCTTACCAGCCCATTCCTTGTTTTCACACTGAATTGAAGAATGATTTTTAACAAGAAACCATAGTGAATTAAATTACATGCTACTGTGTAAAGAAGATAAATAAGACAAGGCTGCTATTATCATGCACAGTGGCTTTATCCAGTGAAGCATGTTTATACCATATCGAAACCACATACTTTCATCTAGTAAAAACTAAAGTAGTAACCAGAAGTTATCACGGAATCTTTTTCTTCCTGACTAATAAAGTCATTTATTTAATCAATTTAAAAGCTTTAAAATGTAATTAGGACTGTAACTAACTATTATTTTGCAATCAGATTAAATTAAACCAGGTGAAACTAAACTTTTCCACTTGAGGAATTCTGGTTAGAGCATATTGTCAGGAATTTTTTTTTTCTTATCTTAAGTAAGTAAGTAAGTAAGTAAACTTTATTTGTATAGCACTTTTCACAGACAAAGTCACAAAGTGCTTCACATGATAGCATATAAACAACACAAGTAAAAACAGATAAAATGCAATAAAAGCTAAAATAAGTAAGTAAATAAAACAATAAGCTATGTGCTTTGGAAGGCTTAAATGCAAAATATTAGCATATCTTTTTTTTTTTACAATTTTGTTAGAATTATTGCTCTAAGTGGGTTGCCCTATCAGCTATAGTCATGTTTTACAGTCTCTATAGTCCAATTTGTTGACGATTATTACCGTAAGCGATTAATCATGATTTATCCAATTAATTGTTTTAGCCCTAAATGTTACTATTATATCCTATTCTTGTTTCTAGAATAAATGAAAACATCTAAAAATTGTTGTATTGTACAAATAGAGTCCTATAGATATTATATTTATGGAAGCAAATACCAACAGGCAGGACAGTGTAGGTACTCAATGCAGAAGAGATGAAGCCATCTGCCTTGGCTCTGGGCAGAGAGCATACAGTATTAACAGCCTTTAGAGAATAATTCACTGTTGTCCGGATGGCCGAGTGCCCGTCCATTTAAATCGAAATGAAAGGAATGCTTGGTTTACGGTGCTTTGATACAATTCAAGCTTTTAAATCGGTATTCTTTTAGTTTTTACTGATTCACAAGATGGTGTTGTGGAATTCATTCTAATTCATTCTTAAAAAAAAAAATTCAGAAAAAAATATTTCCTAAAGCTGGATGTAGATGAGTCAGCCTTCCCATTCTTAGAAAGTCTTGTGCTTTATCATGCTGACCTGTGTGTTTCCAGTGGGAGGCATTTTAGATAATTTGGATGCTGTTATCGTACAATTTCACCTTTACTTTTATAAGGTGCTTTCACATGTAACCCGAGTATAGGGGAATGCATAAGTGATTAAATAATAGGAATAAATCTAATAAATTACAATAGTTTTAGCATTGTGTTTGAGATAGTCTAAATGTTTCTTTCCCTGTTTCCCTTTTTTCCTCAGGACTACACGCTGACCATGTATTTCCAGCAGTACTGGAGGGACAAGCGTCTAGCCTACATAGGAATCCCTCTGAACTTGACTCTGGACAACAGGGTGGCAGATCAGCTATGGGTCCCTGATACTTACTTTCTCAATGACAAGAAGTCTTTTGTTCATGGAGTAACAGTCAAAAATCGCATGATTCGCCTGCATCCAGATGGGACTGTCCTGTATGGACTCAGGTACGGTATGCTTTCTTTCCAATTAGCTTTACAGGCCCATACCCCTAAACAATGGAGTCTTTACCTATTTTTCAATGCATACTGTAGTAAATTCTCTAGAGTGCAAGGTAAATCAACCAGGTTCATCTCCATATACGTTTAACAGATCAATTACACATTCCAATAAACAGCCTCAAATGAATAAAAAAGCAAACAGAGAAAGTTAAACAAGGTTTTTAGAGCACTATCTATAGATTTATGTTTACTGTCTGGCTTGTTTATACTGATACATACTCTCCTGGGATACTTGAACCTGCCAGTCCAGTAGGCCATAGGAGGGCCCTCTATGCAGACACTGAAATAAAAACAAATGGATTGAAGCTCGTAAAATTCAGCCTTAACTGTATTTATGCTTTTAAATAATCCAGCTAGAGACATAATCGTTTTGGACTTAACTAAATAATTTTACATGAAAAAATAAAGAAATCCCAAGTCCCAATCCCAGTCTTTAGACCCAGTTTATTACATTGTTTAACTGAAAAAAAGAGTTGATTATGGGGTTATTACATAAAAAAAAAAAAAAAAAAAAAACAATCAATCAAAAAAAAAAAAAACTGCTCAGCAATTGGTAGAAAATGTTTGACTAACTAACCAGACCTCATTCAAGTGTTTCCTGAAACATCTCAGAAAAATGGTCATGATGGTGATGTTTAACCACTTTTCTGCAAGTTCTGCCTCAAGGGAAAAAGCCTTTGAAATCCTGGATAGTGTAAGCTTCATGTGTCAAGGATCTGCTAAGAAAAAAAAAAAACTCTGTATATTGTGGGAAAAACTTGAAAGGCAGACTATACTCTTTCAAAACACAGAGCATACCTTTTGTGGAAATGACCTTGACAATGGGTTTTAAAATTGAGCATTTTTTAGGAGTTCTCCAATATTCCTGTTTAATACTGATTTCCATCCCTCATAAACTCTTCTGCAGACAGTTATGGCCACTAACTGACCAGAGATCAGCAGTGTTAGCAATGGCTAAAGGGCTGGTTATACTCCCTGCAGCAGTGTGCTGCAGGTATGACGCGGATATTTTTGATTACGTCCAATATTGAAGCGTGGTTTGCGCTATGTTTTTTCCACGCCACAACGTAAGGGGGACAATCACAAACTAGCTGTGGGTGTAGATACGGCCGGGGTGGTGAGGAAGGGGAAAAACGTGAGGGGCAAGTTTGTGCGACAACGAAGGGAAATGAGGGCGAGAAAGATCCTGGTGAAAAAAGGGTCCCAGCATTCTTGCGCAACTCGCTCTTCTAGCTGGTCCATCTTCACAAATCATTTTCCATAATGGCGGTCATACAAACAAGAAACAAGCCGGTATGGTACCAAACAGGAAATACGGATAGAGTAGAGCAACCAATCAGAGGCCACCTGTCTGTGGTCACCTACAATTTTGGAGAGGTGCACCAGAGTGTCTGCGGAAGGGGCGACACACACGCAGACGACCTGGTTTCTGAGTATAAATTAGCCTTAACACTGCAAAGCTCTTTGTCTTTGTGACTAGAAAGAAACCCAGACATCTTTAAATGTGTTATTGGGATTCAGCACCACTATGAATGCAAACCCATCCAACTATCCCACCATCCACTCAGCCTTCCAATATTTGAACTCACACTGTTGACAAAGCTTGCTTGCTGTGGTTTTACTCTAAAGTGGTTTTTAAATGCTCTCATTAGCAGTCAGTTATCAGGCAGTCTTCCATAAAAGATTAAGGTAGTGCATGCACTGTTGTTCTTGTTGATTTTCTCCAATTAGATAAAATGCAAACAAACAATTTTTGTTAATTTTACTTTTAAGCCCTCAGAACTGAGTCAAGATGTCATCAGTTCACAGGTATCTAACAATGTCCTCATAAGGAGGCGCAATGGTACTAAGGTGTGCATTATTTGCTCATCTGTAAAATAAATTTTGCGTTTCTAAAACCATATAATGACCGACCGAAAAACTTGCAGTCCTATCCTAATGCCCAGTGGCTCCCAGACACAGTGGAGGAAATAAGTATTTGACCCCTTGTTGATTTTGCAGGTTTGCCCACTTACAAAGAATGCAACAATCTACAATTTTAATCATATGTACATTCTAACAGTGAAAGACAGAATCCCAAAGAAAATTCCAGAAATTCACATCATATGAATTTATAAAAATGTATAACCATCTGATGAGGAAAAACAAGTATTTGACCCCCTGGACAAACAGCATGTTAATATTTTGTAGAAAAGCCATTATTGGCAAGCACAGATGTCAAACGGTTTTTATAGTTGGTGACAAGGTTTGTGCACATTTCTGCAGGGATACTGGCCCACTCCTCCCTGCAGACAACCTCCAAATCATTCAGGTTCCAAGGTTGTCGCCTGGCAACTCAAATTTTAAGCTCCCTCCAAAGATTTTCAATTGGATTCAGGTCTGAAGACTGGCTAGGCCACTCCAGAACCTTGATATGCTTCTTCTTCAGCCACTCTTTTGTTGCTTTGGCGGTGTGCTTAGGGTCGTTGTCATGCTGAAACACCCATCCTCGACCCATCTTCAGCTCTCTCACTGAGGGAAGGAGATTTTGTTCCAGAATTCCACCATACAGAATTCCCGTCCATCCTCCCCTCAATACGATGGAGTTGTCCCGTCCCCTTGGCTGAAAAACACCCCCAAAGCATGATGTTGCCACCACTATGATTGGCGGTGGGGATGGTGTTCTTTGGCTTGTAGTCGGTGTTCTTTGCCCTCCAAACACGACGAGTTAAGTTGAGGCTAAAAAGTTCTATTTTGGTCTCATCTGACCACATCACCTTCTTCCAGGCCTCTTCTGAGTCATGAATGAATGGCGAACTACTGTACATGCGGGCCTGTACATGTTTCTTCTTGAGCAAGGGGGGCCTCGTGTGCGCTGCAGGATTTCAATCCATGACTGCGTAGTGTGTTACCAACCGTTTCTTTTGTAACTGTGGTCCCAGCTGCCTTCAGTTGATTCATCAGTTCCCCCCATGTGGTTTTGGGATGATTCCTCACCATTTGCATGATCAGGGACACCCCACGAGGCGAGATCTTGTGTGGAGGCCCAGACCGAGGGAGGTTGGCGGTGGTGTGGTGCTTCTTCCATTTCCTGATAACTGCACCGACAGTTAATCTTTTCTCTCCAAGTTGCTTTCCGATTCTCTTGTAGCCCATCCCAGCCAGTGCAGATCAACAATTTTGTTCCTGATGTCCGTAGAAAGGTCTTTGGTCTTGCCCATGGTGGTGATGTTGGATGCTGGTTGTTTTGGTGTTGACAGGTGTCTTTTATACAGGTAACGAGATGAGACAGGTGTATTTGATGTAGATAATTGGTTGGGATTGGGGCTGTGTCTTAAAGAAAGACTAACTGGCTTGTATGAGCCAGAATACTTGCTGTTCGGTAGGGGGTCAAATACTTGTTTTTCCTCATCAGATGGTTATCAATTTTTATAAATTCATATGATGTGAATTTCTGGAATTTTCTTTGGGATTCTGTCTCTCACTGTTAGAATGTACATATGATTAAAATTGTTGATTGTTGCATTCTTTGTAAGTGGGCAAACCTGCAAAATCAGCAAGGGGTCAAATACTTATTTCCACCACTGTAAATATTAATCATGCTGCTGGGCACATGTCCATCAAAAGCATGAACAGTTTAGATGTAATTATATAAAGTTCTGCTTCCAGGTGGATACTTGTTTTATGAAGCTATTGTTCTAAATTTTCCATTGATTTTGTTGACAGGCTGGTTCAGAGGAGTCAGCATGACCTATGAATATGGATGCAAGCTTTGAATTGTCAGAGTGCACAGCAAGAAATGTGTATGCATCTTTATTTAGATGTGTGCTAGCACCCCTGCATTTGCATATGTCAGTGTTTGTACTTTAAAATCAAACCAAAAAGCTTGATTATGTCAGTGGACTTCAGAGCATTTAGCCTAGCAGGCTACTTCTAGACCTTGCTGTGATCTCTTGCATTTAAGAGATCAAAGTGAGGAGGAGATATGCCCTGGCTTTTTTCATAAGAGCTGTTACATCCATTGGAGTCAGGTAACTTTGAGTGTTTAGCTGCGAAAAGATTGTTTTAATTGTAATAGAAGAATACCGCAATTATTTTGTTGGTGTTGTTGTTTGAACCTTTAAAGTTAGTAAACCTGGATGATAACATATAAAACAATCACTTAACAATACCCAAGTTATTTCTATTTGCTAAATGACAGATTAAGGAACAAAATAATTTATTTGATCTTCTTGAGATTCAGAAATATTATAGTTTAAAAAAAAAACTTTATTACCTGATCAAATGTAGTTAGGTTCCCATTTACGGTATAAGCTTCTCTAAATATTTAGCTTGAATTTGTCCCATTTCTCTTCCTGTTGAAAGAACAAAACAGTTTTTAGGCCACATTGCTGCAAAACATGTTTATTTTGGCCAATCATTGAGCTACTTTGCAACTAATCTAGTTCTATGTTGAGAGTATTTGACCAATTAAAGGTTTTAACTTTCTGGCTGATAGTTTAAGATGTTGCTTCAATATTTCCTTATAGTTTTCTTTTCCCAAAACTCACACATACGTATACCCAATATGAAGCTGCCACCACAGTAAGTCGTATTTTGGGTTGGGTCTCGTACATTGTATGCCTGGCCTTAGAGCAGTAATTATATCAAAGATGTGAAAAAATATATATACATTTTATATATAAGATTAAAAAAAAACTTTTGGTCTGTCAATATGCTCTATCCTCAATTAGAAACATTTTACTTTCACCAGGTTTAATTTCTTTAAAAAAATCATCTTTAAAGAACGTTGGCTATTTGATTATCAATCGATTAGTCGAAAAAATAATCAACCAATTAATCAATTTGCAAAAATATTCTTTAGTTGCAGCCTTGTTTGGATACATCTGCACTTATTAGACAATGTTAAAGTGACATTAGCTACATTTACATGGACACAAATAATCGGATTGAAGGCCTGATCAGATCAAAAATGTTTCATGTAAACATGTCAGACTGAAGATTCTAATCCGATTCGGTCCGATCGGATATAAATTTAATTCCGGTGGTTTTTGCCGATCGCCATTCTGATTGGCGTCCATGTAAACACCCATTCGGATCTTAAGAGTAAAATAATCTTCACTGCGCATGTGTGCGACGTCAGCGTGACGTTTTTCCGCCTTGTCAACAACAGGAAACCACCGGTCGCTCTCGCTCTTGTTGTGAACAACATGGCGGGAGGAGTCTAGGAACGCCGACTTATACACTCAAGTTCATTTAAAGCTGCAGGAAGCAGGAATTTATCCTCCTCCTCTTCCTCTTTTCTCTCTCCACAGCCCACTCGCTCTCCCACGCCGGGTTTAATCGCTCATTCTCTACATTTTCTCTCGGACATTTCGCTGCCAAGCGCTTTTTTCCTCCTCTCTCCGTTTTTCTTTCCGCTCGCTCCGAGCGCATCGTTTGTCAGGCCTCCCAAAAACCAGACGCAGACAGAACTGACAAGTTTGGCAGGAAGTTCTGCGCATGCTTAAAAGATTTAATCTGATCCAACGCTTGGTACATGTATACACACGTCATGATCGGATCATTTCATTTAGTGTCCATGTAAACGGAGATTTTGAATTTCCGATCAACCAAGGTTTGGATCGGATCGGGGAAATTTTGCGCATGTAAACGTAGCTACTGTCTTACATTAAAGCTGAAGTCTGTAAGTTTTTAAAAATCACTTTTTTGTCATACTGGCTAAAACTGTCCCTATGCCCAGACAGCAGTACATGTGATATGTAACCTGTGAAAAAAACTGCTTCAATTGGTCCCGCATACTGCCTGTATTTCAATCTGGAAAGAATAATTCGGGCCGAGTCAAAACAACCAATCACAGCCAGAGGAGCGTCTGATGGAGTGTCAATCACAGCTCACACACGCTGAATCCCCCCCCCCCCCCCCCCCCCCTTCTGGTTGCATGCGGTAGCCGCACAGATGCTGTGAGAGGGGTGGAGCTTGGAGGTGGGGCATGAGTGAAGCAGAGAGGGTGGGGGAGTGGAGTGAAACATGTTTTTCTTCAAATTTTCAGTCGAAGTCTGCTCTCTCCTCAATGTTACAGACTGCAGCTTTAAAGGAATAGTACACCCAAAACATGATTAGCCTTCATTTTCTACTCACCCCCATGCTAAACAACACTCTGGACCTCCAAGCTCCACCCCTCTCACAGCATCTGCGCGGCTACCGCATGCAACCAGAAGGGGGGGGGGATTCAGCGTGTGTGAGCTGTGATTGACACTCCATCAGACGCTCCTCTGGCTGTGATTGGTTGTTTTGACTCGTCCCGAATTATTCTTTCCAGATTGAAATACAGGCAGTAGGCGGTACCAATTGAAGCAGTTTTTTTCACAGGTTACATATCACATGTACTGCTGTCTGGGCATAGGGACAGTTTTAGCCAATATGACAAAAAAGTGATTTTTAAAAACTTACAGACTTCAGCTTTAAGCCGATAATTGGTTCTAATTTCCAAAAAAAGCTATTTTACTTTACACCTGCCACAATTAATTACCATTATTATTTTTTTTATTTGATAAAAAAGAGATACAAGTGAAAAAATTCTATTTCACAGAATGTATAATTTACCCCTGAAAAGCGTATTTGTTTCAGACTATGGGAAATGTCATTTGTAACTATAGGTTACCACAATAAGAACAATACATCTTTGCGATGGAAACCCACTTTGTTGGTGTAATTTTAGCTGCATAATAACATCAGCTAATGGTTTTCCACAGTCTCATCTGAGCCTTAGCTAAATGAAGACTTCCAGTGGCTAACTGCCAAGCAGCCAGCTTTTAATCAGGCCAGACTCAGCCGAAATCATTTCAAATTTGCATTTCACTTTGCTCCTCACTAACTGTCTGATCACCACCCGTCGGAGCTCTTCCGTCTAATAAACAAAGCGAGAACTCCTTACGACCCTCTGCAGATGAGCAGGCACAGAACTGTGCCAAAAGGAACCGTTTTGTTTGCGTCTTTATTTGATTTTCACCTAATCACAGGCTGGAGGGCAACCAGTTTTAATGCTCTGCAGATAAACTGTTAAATATCCGTATGGACTGGAGTCTGTCAGTGACTTATACAGGTGCTGGTCATAAAATTAGAATATCATGAAAAAGTAGATTGATTTCAGTAATTCCATTTAAAAAGTGAAACTTGTATATTATATTCATACATTACATACAAACTCATATATTTCAGATGTTTATTTTGTTTAATTTTGATGATTACAAATGACAACAAATGAAAATCTCAAATTCATCATATCAGAAAATTAGAATATTGTGAAAAGGTTCAAAATTGATGGCCCCTGGTACCACACTCTAATCAGCTAATTAACTCAAACCACCTGCAAAAGCCTTTAAATGGTCTTTCAGTCTAGTTCTATAGGCTACACAATCATGGGGAAGACTGCTGACTTGACAGTTGTCCAAAAGACGACCATCGACACCTTGCACAAGGAGGGCAAGACACAAAAGGTCATCGCTAAAGAGGCTGGCTGTTCACAGAGCTCAGTGTCCAAGCACATTAATAGAGAGGCGAAGGGAAGGAAAAGATGTGGTCGAAAAAAGTGTACAAGCAAGAGAGATAACCGCACCCTGGAGAGGATTGTGAAACAAAACCCATTCAAAAATGTGGGGGAGATTCACAAAGAGTGGACTGCAGCTGGAGTGAGTGCTTCAAGAACCACCACACACAGACGTATGAAAGACATGGGTTTCTGCTGTCGCATTCCTTGTGTCAAGCCACTCTTGAACCACAGACAGCGTCAGAAGCGTCTTGCCTGGGCTAAAGAGAAACAGGACTGGACTGCTGGTGAGTGGTCCAAAGTCATGTTCTCTGATGAAAGTAAATTTTGCATTTCCTTTGGAAATCAAGGTCCCAGAGTCTGGAGGAAAAGAAGAGAGGCACTTCATCCACGTTGCTTGAAGTCCAGTGTAAAGTTTCCACAGTCAGTGATGGTTTGGGGTGCCATGTCATCTGCTGGTGTTGGTCCATTGTGTTTTCTGAGGTCCAGGGTCAACGCAGCCACATACCAGGAAGTTTTAGAGCACTTCATGCTTCCTGCAGCTGACCAACTTTTTGGAGATGCAGATTTCATTTTCCAACAGGACTTGGCACCTGCACACAGTGCCAAAGCTACCAGTACCTGGTTGAAGGACCATGGTATCCCTGTTCTTAATTGGCCAGCAAACTCTCCTGACCTTAACCCCATAGAAAATCTATGGGGTATTGTGAAGAAGAAGATGCAATACACCAGACCCAACAATTCAGAAGAGCTAAAAGCCACTATTAGAGCAACCTGGGCTATCATAACACCTGAGCAGTGCCACAGACTGATCGACTCCATGCCACGCCGCATTGCTGCAGTAATACAGGCCAAAGGAGGCCCAACTAAATACTGAGTGCTGTACATGCTCATACTTTTCATGTTCATACTTTTCAGTTGGCCAACATTTCTATAAATCCTTTGTTTTTATTGGTCTTCAGTAATATTCTAATTTTCTGATATGATGAATTTGAGATTTTCATTTGTTGTCATTTGTAATCATCAAAATTAAACAAAATAAACATCTGAAATATATGAGTTTGTATGTAATGTATGAATATAATATACAAGTTTCACTTTTTAAATGGAATTACTGAAATCAATCTACTTTTTCATGATATTCTAATTTTATGACCAGCACCTGTACATGCTTATGCGGTCAGCATCTTCAGTGGAGGAGGCTGTGCTAATCTGTTTTTAAAATGACAATGCCAGTAGTCTTATGTAATGTGAAAGCAGCTCAGGTACTCGATGTAAAGACAAGTGGATGATTAGTTCTTTAAAGATGAAAAACAAGATCTGATGCTTTAAGCTTAATGCTTCAGCCTAACTGTTACTGTTGTCCCCTCACTCTTAGGTCTTTCCTTACTCCCTATAGTGCAGAACATGCCATACCCGCTTACTCTTCCCTTTAATTATTATTTTGTTCATATTACAACAACAATCTTTGTGTATTTGATTTGCTTTTCGTCTAATGGAAATATTAGAACTGGAAAGAAAATCTGATTCCTATTCTGTCTGTTCTTTTTTAGGATAACAACAACAGCTGCTTGCATGATGGACCTCAGGAGGTATCCCCTGGATGAGCAGAACTGCACTCTGGAGATAGAGAGCTGTGAGTACATGGATGGTTTCAGTTCATAAAGCTCAAATCATTTTATTAATTTAATCCAACGCTTTGATGAAAACTGCAAGCTGGCACTGGACAGGAAATAACTGAAGGCATTAGCCAATACTCAAACAGAAAACCTAATGCCACCGCCTTATGGGAAGTTTTTGTTTTGCTTTAAATTTTGTATTTTTCTACATGAATTCATCTTCGATCGAGCCCAAGTCCCTTGCTGCTCTCCGGATCTAGTTGGGTAATTTTATGATGCAGCAGCTGCAGGAGAACGATCTGTTCTAGAAGTTCTCTTCCTAAATGTGCAGTAAAAACTATATTTGGCTTTTTTTATTGGTTTCACATTTGATTAAAAGCTGTAGAAAATGCAAAAAATGCCATTTTATTTACATTCTCTTCAACGTTTCATGACACATTATAGGATTTAGGTCTATTTTTTTGGATCCCTGCTGTGCTATAAGACCCAGACATGATCATAGTGATTCCCCTCGAAGAGGCCAGCTAATTTTATTTATTTTCCTTTGAAACTTTGTACTCTGTTTTCTGATAGAGAAATATACCCACAGGATCATAGATTTAGTTTGTTTCAGTGCGTCTGCTATTCTTCCAACTTGTTATGTTAAAGCTTTTAAAATATTCCTCTGATTGCAGATATCTAGTTTGGGAGAAGAAGTTTATTTTATCCTAATATATAAGGCTCAACACAGCTTCCTTATTTATAAGACATGCTTTCGTATTTTTCCCATTTTAAAGATAATAAAATCAGTTCATGAGCAGCACCTGATCAACTTAAAAAAGTGAAAGAAATAATACTATAATTAATGCATAAAAATTCTCTCTGCTGCCTTTAATGTCCCTTTGTGTTATTTTATTTGGAACCAAGTATATATTTTTTAAATGTAATATTTTAAACCTCTGACTTGAAGGTTGAAATTTTGTCAGATTGTCAGGATCTATGGATACTTGTTGAGGAACAAAATGTAGAGATGAAGAGGCAGAGATTATTTCTGCAAAATTTTATCAAGAAGCAAAAATAAAGATGCCATCATCCAGAACTGGTCGACAAGAACGTCAGCACCAAAAAAATAAATAAAATAAGAGACACTAGGGAGGAATAAAAATACGGAATGAAGAGAAGCCAGGAGTATACATGCTAAACAGAACAATGAATGGACTAATCAGCTGATTGGGAGCAGGTGTGGAGAGAAGGGTTTAGAAGGGAGCTAGGGGAAAGGAGACTGGGAAAAGGGGGCAGCAGAGAGTAACCAAGAGGTACATAAGTGCTCAACTACAGCTTGAAAACAACTCGAATGACACAAAATGGAAATGAAACTATAAATCGTAAATCAAAGCGTAACTGAAATCCCCAAAAAGACACCTTAAAGAGAACTAAGAAGTACAGAAAGGGCAGAATCATGACAGATTTTACTACTGTATAAAATATTTTTTTCTTTATTTAAGGTGGTAATAAGTGTAGAAATGTCTTTCTATATGTGGAAAATTGCTCTAAATGGTAGTATTAGACTATGAGATCCTTAAGCGGTCATTTTATTCCCCTAAAGAGATCTATTAAACATCTTACTTTTCAAAGGAACGTCTGGCTCATAGACGCAACTTCAAACATGTTTCTTTTTTTCTCATGTCCCCAAATGACAGTTGGACGATCAGCAACACTGCATATCTTGGTCTCCTGTGATGGTTTTGACAGATGGTTACACCTTGGTGTGTTCGTGTTTCTTCTGCTGCAGATGGCTATACCACAGATGACATCGAGTTCTACTGGAAAGGAGGCGAGTCGGCTGTAACAGGGGTGACACGAATCGAGCTGCCACAGTTCTCCATTGTCGACTACAAACTGGTTTCCAGAAATGTTGTCTTTTCCACAGGTAATTGCCCGACTGGAATATGTGAAGAGCTAACACATTTTTGCTTTAGATTAATTAATTTGTACAACGCTTTGCTGTATTTTTACAAATTAAGCTTTGGTTGCTTTTGAAGCTGATCATTTAAACATGTTCTGCAAGCCGCCATGTGCTTGCCAAAGATCGATGGGTTGTTCTTAAATCCTTAGAGCTACAGTTGTGTTTGTCAGTAGCTCTAATTGGGTTGAAATGAGGAAATATCTGCCTTTGATGTTTCCCTGAAGTAGCTCCAGTTGGTGCAAGCATGCTGAAGTGGTGCTTAACTAAAACAGGCATTAATCTCTCAGCAAACCTCTTCTCCACCTGCTGGTCCTTCACTGTGAGGTCAAATTTTTACATGGATGAATTGTTATTGTACTATAGTCAAAAAGTGTTCCCTACAAGGTCAGTCATATTAGAGTTTGTTAACATTTCCAGTAATTTACAGCCATTGGTAGTTGAAATTTGTGGTTAAAGCCTAAAATAAAACCATAAAATAAATTGGGTTTTGAAGACCAATTTGGTATTATGGTGCTGGTAGTGAAGTGTTTTGCTTTTAGAGTCGCCCTAATTTTTCCTGATAAAGCTCCAATAAGGTGTCAGACATATTCCTAAGTGGTTTTGGTTAATGAATGCGTCACATGGTTGCTGCTGATTTGCCAGCTCCATAATGCGATGTGGCTGCAGCTTCTCAATTAGGTTCAGTTGGAATTAAGAGACATACAGTGGGCAAAATAGATTAAGTAGTAGCCATTCAAAATTTCCCCTCTTTCCTTGATTGTTCCTTGGCTGGTCCCCTACAATTCCTTTTTAAACATCAATATTTGCACTAAAATATTTATTCTGTCATGATTTGTGGGCATTAAGATCTAAAGAGAAGTGTCAGCTCCCAGTCAGACCCTGTAATATAGTGAAAAGGTGGAGTCAGAGTAAAACAAATATGTATGCCCAGGAGAAGGCCAGTGGCTGGAAGTTGGAGGGGATTTTGCTGGAAGTTGCAGGGAATTGGGCTGCTATTCGCTGGCTTTTGACTGGGAAGGGCCATTTTGAAAGGCTGCTACTGTAATGTGTAATTCCTGTGTTTTTCAATAAGCCTCTTTAAACTTTCGCCTTGCAATCTTGTGTGCCATCTTTTGCTGTAGCTCATCTGCTTCGAGGTTCAACATGTTGTATTTTCACAGACTGCATGCCTTGGTTGTAAGCAGCCAGTATTTGACTACTATTACCTTTCTATCATCTGGGATCTGACCATCCCCTTTATGCTCTTACGTTTGTTACATTTATGTCATTATACCGTGTCTTGCTGGTTAATGTTTTTTTTATTTTTTTATCAGCCTTCTTTAACACTGAGTAAAACCTCTAAGCAGTCAATGTTTGGGAGTAGAGACATAAATTACACCTAAAAACAATGAAATATTGACTTCTAGAAATGTATTGTTTAAGTCTTGTTACAAAGCAGAGCATTATTCTTTCTTCGAAACAGTTTTATTTCGAATGAATAGGGACCAAAATATCAACCATCTATCTGCAAATGTGCAATATTATCTCATAAGGCAATTGTTTTAACCTTCGAGGTTTAACATGTTTATTAATAGAAACTGTTTACATATCAGAAGTAATATTGCATGCTTCCATATTTCTAAATTAGCAAAATGTCATCACATAGCAAAGAAAAAACTCTTGACCCCATACTTTAAGATCCTAAAAAGAATAATATTTTTAAAATGTGTATTTTAATTTTTGCAACGGAATAAGAAGCTCTCCTGACCAAATTAGCAAGTGTTTTTCTATGAAGGGCCCCATAGAAAAACACTTCTGTACTGCAGTATACTGTAAGACAATAGGAAATCTAACACATCTGTTACACATCTTCATATTTTTAATCAGAAATCTTTGTACAAGGAGAATTTTCCTTAAATAAAATCCACAATTATGCTTGTGATATACCGATTTTAAAGATCAATGATTTATTTTCTACTCAAAACCAAACATAAATGAACTATATTTTTAAATTCAGTATTCACTTATATATTTTACCAATTAAGGAAAAAGTAGAAAAGAAAACTACTTGCATCTATATTGCTTAGTTCGTTGAGCATTGGATCTGAGGTTATTAAATTATTCATTCTAGCTAGCATATAACCAGTTTCCCAAAAGGATAATAAGTAGCAGCAAGTGTGGGCAAATATACTCCATATTTTATTGGATCACATATAGTACTACTTTATAGTTTAGTTGGAAAAATTGGTGCATTTGTTTGAGTATTTCATCACTGACAGTAATCAGGATCTGCTTTATGGTCAAATTGATGCGTAGAATATCCAATGTTAAGATTTTTAAAGAATTGGATTTCAAAAAAATGTTTTCTTGATGCCTTTTCTCTTTAGTCCTCTATAATTTTAATTGGGCAGACACCGTTGTTCAAATAAATAGTGCTCTTTCTATATATTTTTTATTTTTGGAGGTGCTTTCTACTGATCAGTACAGAGAATAAAGGCCCCTCTTTTTATCAGAGACTAAACCGACAAATGGAAATCAAAGTTGCTCATAATCTATTAAGCATTTAAAGCTAAACAAGAACACTAGAAGTTGTTTTTCTGCAGAAAAGTTAGATAGTGCTCAAATATAGTATGATGAACCAATTAAATAATGCTCATGAAAATTAAAAGCTGTTTTGCAAACCTTGTGATTATATGTTCATCCGTTAAGGAAAACAGTATGTTATACATGGAAACCATTAATGTTTTGACATTGTTGCTGCTTTTAGCTGCTGGTACAAGAAAAAAAAAACAGCTAAAGATTATTTATAGGATCACAACAGTGATTTTCTTCCAGCTCTTCGTCTCTTGGGGCCAGTAATTGAAAGAAAAAGCAACACAGAGCAATTTGTCAGGTTCCTGCATATGAAAAACATTTCATGTTGTAATAAATGCCTCAGTGTAATTTGACAATCAATTTTTTTCTCTTTTCAGTTGATATATGTGCTGAAATCTGACCTTTTTTTATAATGTAAAGCGACAGTCCTAAATTACTCAGATTTAATGCGAACATTTACAATGTGATAGATGTTCTTTCCACCACCATTTAGTATAGGCCATGGCTACACAAGGAAGTCATTTCTCCAGAGCTGTGGCGGGAACATAAAATCTGTCTGACATTTAGCCTGGTTTTTGTTTTTTTTTCAGCAGAATTTATGCTCAAAAGGTAGAATCATGCCCACCCTGAGAAACTCAGTCAGTTTTGGTTATTTTTAACTCTTTCATCTAATGGTGCGTTTTATTCTCTTGGCCTCATTTCTACCATGTGTTTACCTTCTCTTCAAGTTTACCACAATTTTGAGCTGTTTACAGTAGACAAGCGCCTCTGCCAGTCTTGGGAGAATCACATGCTGACGTGTCAAGGCGGGTGGGCAGAAGTGCGCTTGTTTGTAGAAGCGGCTTGTCTCCCTGCGGGTGGAGACCATAGGAGTTTAGTATCCAGTGGTCTGCTGTGCTTACTCCTTGAAGCACATCAAAGGCTTGATGCATTACTGGCTAATGATCAGGTTTCCTCCATCACACAGGCTGCGAGGTGTCCTTTGGTTGTCTTTCTCTCACTCTCTTACTCAGCTTGTCACCTTTCCTTTTTTCCTCTGAGCAGCTTCCATCAGTGTAACTTTTCCTCCAACTTAAAAAAGGTGTGCTTGGATGCCAATTATCTTGCTCTCTAGCAAGAAAAATAAGACCAGAATTCGGGGCATCTCATATTTATGTGCAATGAGGCACACAACATCAATTATTCTGCAAACACAGATGCAGACATAGACTTGTGTGTGCATCCACGTAGCCTGTGTGGTCACATGTAAATGCATGCCTGAACAGACACTCTATCTGCTTTCTGACATTTATCTGCATGTTTAAGCTTCAAGTCACAGATATGATCAGTACTAAAATTGTCATCTCTTTTGTTTTCGAAAGCGCTTGTTTGAAGAACAAGAGTATTTTCTGCTATCCATCTTTTATAACTTTTGCAAAGTATGAAATTGTCTGGAGAGAATGTTCCTCTAAATCTTTTATTTTTGTCACACTTAAAAGACGCCTTATAAATCAAAGTCATGGCTCAAGTTATTAAAAATAACACAAAAGGATATGACTAAATTCAGCAAGTTTTTTTTGTGTGTGGTCATGGTTTACAAGCTATTGAAAATATCTTGAAATGAGTGTCACATATCAAAAAAATTTTTATTAAAGAGATATATATATATTAATTGCATACTTGTATATTACAGGAAAGGTGAGTTGAAAGAAAAACTGCTGTAGGAAAAAGGTACACAAGCAGCAGGGATAACTGCAGTCATCACAGGCTGCAATAACAATGATTTAATGATTTCATACAATGATGTATGAAAAAATTATCTGTGTCACTGTCCTCTCCTGAAAACTGAAACTAAATCTCTGTGGCAGGCATGTTTATTTGTGTAGAACATTTTAGTAACAATGCAGTTCAGAGGGCTTTGGCTGAATAGAGCATAAAAAACACTATAACCCTAAAATGTTCACTCCTTTATGCAAGTAGTAGATAAACAGGCATTCATGGCTCCTTGAATTCAGTGCTTCTCATCTCTAACTCCAGACTCTGGCAACTTAATATCAAAATAAAATGAAAACTTTACTCTCATCTTTTTTTTTAGTCAAGGTAAAATGCTTCTGATGTTTCTGGTTCAGGAGTGTCTTAAATAGTGAACATCTGTAGCTCATGTGTACAATTTGTTTATGTGCAGCAGCCTTTGATGCACTGACTCCAGCCTCAGTCCACTTCTTGTCAATTCTCCCACATATCTTTAAAGGTATAGTGGAGGATGTTCTTTTCTGGGTGGATCATCTAAATAAGTGGTCCTCCTAATTGTCAATCACTCTGGTGATATGTTAACATATTGCCGTACTACGTGCTTGTCCCCATTTTCACTTATCTGTGATGAGTCTGACATAATAGAAAAATTGCAAAGTAAGCTTGTATTAGTGATGCAAACAGCAACTTTTAAACAGAGCGTGCACGAGGAGAAATGAGCTGATGCACGCTCTTGCATGCATTTAATAAGTGTTCCATGTCGGGAGCATGTACAGGAATGTGCATGTGCATCTTTTTTTTTTAAGTGGAGTGGGTGGGTCTTTCAAACATTTGTGAAAATCCTCCATTGTACCTTTAAATTATTTTTTTCTGTCAATGGTGTACTATTTCCTATCACATGTTTTGCTAATTTCAACTTTAAGAACTTAAGATCTTCTTTGTAGAGGACGTCAATGACCGTCCTCTATCCAGGCAGCAGTATTCCCTTTTGTCTGTTAGGCTCCATTTAGTGACTAAGGAAACCTTAGCAGGTTTTTTAAATTTAGTAGCTAATTTATTGAATTTGTGACAGTGATTATATGTTTATGCTGAAATTCTAAAATTGCATCTATACCAACTTTCTACATAATGTTAGCCAAATTCACCCCCTCCAACTTATGCTTTAAAATGAGAGAAAATAAACTAATAAGGTAGAGGGTTACTGGAAATATCAACCACACTTTTTAACACAAGTTGAAAGCCACAAGCAGCTCTCCCTTTTTTTTCAAGCCTTTCTCTTACACTCTTTTGTTATGCATCATCATCAGTTCAACTTTACTTTTTTTTCTCCCTCCTCTCCATCCCTCTCTTTCTCAGCCTCACACATGCTGTTCCTCCCACTCACGGATGTTGTTTGGTGTAGCCGTTACAGCCAGAACTGTTCTACACCTACATGCCAGTGTACCTCAGCCTCATCTTTTCTTTAGCCACTTTGGCTGCTCTTACAGTCAGATTTAGTCCAAAGGAACTAAAACAAGCTTTTTTTTTAAATAAGTGTGACTGTCTTTTTATTTTCACACTATGATATATGTAAATGATGTGTTTAGTCCTTTTATAGCTGCCAGAGCTGTTATTTAAGAGCTAAAAATAATAAGATTGTCCAAAGAGATAAATATTGTTTGAGTATTTATAGTTTATGTTCCTGTCTGTCAGATTTCTGGATTTTACTGAAATAAACTTAGAAGCCTTAGAAGCTTGAGGGCAGCAGCAAGCTGTCAACAGAAAGCTAATTAAATAGTTTTTCACATTTTATTGGTTATACAAACTGTCACTGGTTATGCAAACAGCCACTCCCTTAACACAGCAACTCACTTTTTTGTGAACTTTAAGGTGTGTAAATCATACACATGTCTTACTTCAATTTGGTTGGTTATTTGCATAATCACATTCAGGTATAAAACAACCAGTATAAAAAATGGTTTCTATGAATTAGATTGATGCTACCAATGAAACATGGACATTTATAGTATGATACCCAGTTTAAAATCGACTACAGCCTGGAGTGTAAGAACTGAGTTGAGTGATCACCAGGAAAAGGAACAGGTCAATTTGCACTTATGTAAAACAGTTCTGTGAAAACAGGAAGCTTAATACCAATGTGGAAATTGACTGAGCAAAATGGATACATAGAAGCCATGAAAAAAACTAAACAAAAACAACAGAGTCAAATCTAAATGAAAGTAAGTACCAGACAGAAAAAAAAATGTAGAGGAAAAAGACAAGATCTCTGCATTTACCCCAAGTTAATCAAGCAAAATTTTGGACTTTTCCCTCCCAGTTGCCAAAGCTGTAATCTTTGGATAAGATTAGAAAAAGATATTTACCATCTACATCTACCAAGAAATTTACCATAAAATTCATTATTAATATACTCTACCTTATATCAAACTAGAAAGTAGTTCGTTACTCAGGCCTCTTTTTTTCTTTTTGTGAATGCGGGTCTGGGAAGTTTTTGGACTATGACTTTAATGGTTCACAAAAACCTGCTCCCAGGAAAATAGCAACCCAAAGATATTTCTCTTTGCATATAAAAAGTAAAGGACCTGACTTTAGCCTTTCCAGGGACAAAGCTCTTGACTTTGCAAAAAGGTCAAGTCTTGACTTGGGACTGTCTAGTAAAGAAATAAACAGAGTGGGCTTTTGTACGGTAAGATATTTTTACCCTTACCTGTCTATTAAAGGCATTAGACCTGACCTGGGCATAGGAACAAAAATGCTTATGCACGTTCCTTAAAGTTTTGAGAGCTAACTGGTCTGCTCCTCAGACACTGGAGTCTTCGGTTGGACCTATGGCCAAACACAAATGCCTGGAACTGGCTATGCTCCTAAAAACTTTAAATTTCCCTCTCAAAGGCTTGCCATTTAAGTAATGGACTCATATTAGTCTCAAAAAGATTTCAAACTTGGCCTTGCCCTTCCTTAAGGTTGCCAGATTTGACTTGGACCTGGGGGAACATGGCACAAGTGTTAACCGCGCTCTACTCCTTTGGGGGGGGGGGAAATACTTTGCTTTAAATCAGCTCCAGAAAGTGTGAGACTTGGGCCTACAGTACCTTTCAAATACTTAAGACTCAGCTTGGACCTGCATTTAAAAGACTTGAGACTTTACTAGCACTTTGGGCATAATATTTAAGACTTGACTTGAAACTGCCATTTAAAGTCCTCAAATTTTATTTTGACTGAAAATAATACATGTGGCAATGTCTGGTACATCTTTGACAGTTTAAATGTCTTAATTGGATTTCTGTAAATCTGGTTGACTTACAAAGCTGTACACTATCTGTCTGCGTCAAGTCTTAAGTCTGGACTCTGTCTCAAGCAGCTGCCGTGGATAACATTTGATATATGGCCCCTTTTTAAAATCGCATCAAGTCATTTTTATAGCACTGTAATTTTATTGCACACACAAGGCACTGAATTGTAATAAGATGCGTGTGTGAGAGGATCCTTTATTATTTTTTTTCTATTTTACTAGCAGCTCTCTCTTCATCCAGCCGTACACACAAGTGTGGAGTTGGTGGACCCACGCTTAACACAAGTAGCTTTGGCTGAAAACCCACAGTGCAGAAATTACTCCATAATGGGTCCCACTTTTCCTCCAATATAAAACTAAAATGGAAAACAGCTAAGAATAGTGGGAGTAACGAGTCATAGATACAGCCTGTTTGGAAATATAATGCCAGGAGATTTCTAAAAAATCCCATATATTTTATATTAACATTTCATTTGCACACATACAAAGATACTGTTTTAAATTTAAATTCCAGATTAACGCAACATAAAATGCATTTAGAATAACTTTCAGCAGCAGCCACTGATGAAGCAGTATTTGCTCAGATTCTGTAGGTGAATGTTTAAAAAGTAAAAATATGGTCAAATTTTACTGCTATCCTGAATGTTGCATCATGAAATACGGTTTCAACTGAATGTTTTGGTGTGTGTAGTTTGAGTCGGGAGGAACGGATGTGTGTTGGTGATTTTGAAGAGGATACTTGTTACCATGGTGATAAATTCAGCCCATGCTGTCGGCGTTGCCATGGAAACTGAAACAAAAACATAAGGTGTCCCTGCTTGCTGCTCAGACTATCAAAGTTTAATGTTTTGGGCTGAATTTGTCTTTTTTTGGTGTGTCTGCTTTCTTAATTAGCTCGATTCTCAGATAACCTTCTGACAATTTAATACTATTTATTCCTTACCTAAAATTTTCAGATGCTGTAGTCTTGTTTTTTTTTCTCTCCCTCTCTGCTCAGGTGCCTATCCTCGACTGTCTCTGAGCTTTAAGCTGAAGAGGAACATCGGTTACTTCATTTTGCAGACATACATGCCATCAATCCTGATCACCATCCTATCCTGGGTATCCTTCTGGATAAACTATGATGCATCTGCAGCCAGGGTGGCTCTTGGTAAGAAATAGTCAGTTTTACTTTCTCAAACTACAAAAGGATATTCTTGTTTATTACCGCTGATGATGTTGTGCTTTTGAATGTAGAAAATATGGTCTACCTAGTGATAAGAATAAACGATTAAACTTGCAATTCACTTTTAAAGGAATGCTATTTTAGTTCTCCCTTTTTGTAGTGTGACAGCAGCAAACTAGGTCAACATTCTGTGTAGCTGCTGTTGTCAAAAAAAAGCTGCAGGTGGAAGTTTGTCAGATTTTAATGATCATGTTACCTGGAATGTGATGCATGGTAGGAACAGTATTGACCATGACTAGTAATTGATTAATTTCAACTCAAAAAGTCCTAATTTTATTTTTGTGTATTAAATCTGCACAAAGTAGTCTCTGGATTGTAAAATTAAATGAGAAAAATGTATATGATAAAAAAAAACATGACAATTCTAATTGAAAAATCTCATGTGCGTGTACCTAGATGCTTTGATGGTGCAAACATTTACCTTTAAAGGTCACATAATTCCACTTTGGGATGCATAAAGTATTTGGAGAAGTATTTTGTGCCCCATCAACATTAAAACTTACCATTTTTTATCAGAATTAGAAAGCACATTGTACCACAGTAGACCTGCCATGACAGGGTAGCCTACCAGATCTCACAGAGCAGAAAAAGATGGCATTAATCAAAATGGCTGCCCAGAACCACACAGTATCCACACGATCCATTAAGCTGGGATTTACGGTAGTTAAACAAAAACCATAACATGAAGTTTTACAGTTAAGGAAGAACATTCTGAGTTTGCCAATTACAAGTGACTTTTCATTCCGTAAAAATTCAAAAAATATCCACTGGCCTTGTATTGCTTGGAAACATGCAATGTATTGCATGTTTCCAAGCAATACAAGGCCTTGTCCATATAAGACTAAAACTCACTGCGGATCCAGACATTTGAATTGAGAAAGCTTCCTGGAGAGGTGGCGAAACGTCTTCAAATCTTGAGAACCAAGTCCAGTGGATATTTTTTGAAATTTTATGGAATGACTATGACCTGGATGACTGAGAACCTTCATCAGCAAAGTGACTTTTCAGTGACCAAGGGGGACAAATACTATCTCTAACACAAACATATTGGTAGCAGCTTCATGCTGTAGGGTTGTTTTTAGCAGTAGGGACTGAGAAAGTGGTCTGAGTCTGAGGAAAGATGAGATCTATCTTTGTCCATATTCTGGATAAAGAAAATAGGTGGTTTGAGAGGGGCGTGAAGGAAGCCATCTATGTTAAGAGAGAAAAACCAACTTTAAACAGAGGTGGTGGACTGAGATTCCAGCTTCCAAAAACATACAATTCAATCATAGACATGATCCCTTCCAGATATCACCAAACCCCCCACCCCATCACAGAGGAACGAGGGACTTACCCGCTCCAGCCGGTGAACAATACCTCCTTAACGACCAACCCTTAACAATCATAGACAGGTTTCAGGTATTACAGGAGACAATCCCCCCCTTAATGACAATCCCCCCTTTAACGACCGACCCCTAGAATCATAGACAGTTTCAGATATTACAGGCTAACGATGGAACTAACGACCCATTCATCGGTTTCTATTGCATGTTTCCAAGCGATACAAGGCGTTGTCTATATAAGACTCAAACTCACTGCAGATCCAGACATTTGAATTGAGAAAGCTTCCTGGAGAGGTGGCGAAACGTCTTCAAATCTTGAAAACCAAGTCCAGTGGATATTTTTTGAATTTTTACGGAATGAGATCTTAAATATGGGGACATTGTTGAGTAAAATCTCTGTCAGATCGGCTGTGTTTTTAGACTGAGATGGAGATGGACTGTAACCCAAAGTAGGAACAGATATATATCAAAATGTGCTGAAATGGCCCAAAGTCCAGACTTCAATCCAACTGAGCATCCGTGGTTAGGCTTAAAAATCCATTCCTAAGTAAAAACTGTCCAACAATAAAGAGCTGTAACAGCATATTAAGAAATGAGAAAAACAAAATCCTGATTTGGCAAGTTTATAGAGACCTATCCAAAGCAACGGCCTCTATTTGTTGATTGATTGATTGACTTTATTGATCTCACAGTGGAGAAATTTACTTACTGAGTACTGATATTAATTTCCCTCAATAATGATGTTAACTTTGGCATGAAAAGGGGGCTTATGGATTTTATATGCTGTGGTGTCCTTGTGCTTTTCTCTTTTCCTATTTGTTGTCTATATCTTTAAAGTTGTACACATGTTCTATAAATGACCTGGTTCAGATTAATCAACAATCCATTTTAATTCAAGGTTTTGAGGAGACAAAACATAAGATGTGCCCTTCGGGGCTTAATACTTTTACAAGGCCTTATATCAGTGTAGCATCATTGACGCCTCGTTTGACAGGTCTATATGTGGTGATTTTTCATACTACTCAGTCTCAGGTGGCCCTAAAACATTGTTCTGTGTGGAAGTATTTACATTGATTATTGGAAGCTATAAAATCAAGTCAAGAGTATGAGAAGTGACAGTCTTACCTCAAAATAAGGGATACATTTGTAACCAACGTTTTACTAGTCTCCAGCTATAATATGCGGCTGTGCTTGTAAATCATTATTAGCCTGTGGTTCAATGAGAGCCTCTTCTAAGTTTTATGCATGACAGAAGGGCTTTATTAGTGGGCTTTGCCAATACAGCTGGGAAATGGAAATAGTAGTATTTCTTTTTTACTTCAAAATGAGAGAGACAATAAACAAGAGTGTGTTAAGTTAAAAGTAGTCAACTTTGTATCTGCTTATATGCTTACATTTACTTCCTTAATTTAAGTCACTCAATAATTATTCACAGGACATGCTTCATGTTGAAACGCTTTGCAGCATTTTTCAATAATGACAGATCTAACAAGATTCCTTGCGTAAGTAATGTTTTTTTTGTTTTTTGTTTTTTTAAGAACATCCAGCTATCCATCATGCAAGGAACAACTAATCATTTAACATCTCATATAAGATACTGTGCCAGTTTGACCTTAGATGATGAACTGAATAACCATGTTTTGTAGTAACTGCTTTGCTCTGTACGTTTAGTGGAGGCTTGTAGTAAACAGTGGAGTCGGGAAACAAATAGTCAACTACGACCATGTAAACGGATTCCTGCTTCGGATCTTCAGTCATACAGTATGGATAGATAATGGAGCAATAATGCCTTTAACACGTCATAATGCTTTTTGGATAACATGGTGCTATCCATTACCTTGATGAATCATTTATCTTTCTTTCCAAGTGCTATTTGCTTTCTAAAAGCGGGTGTTTGTCTCTTTCTTCCCTTCGTTAAGACATGCATGCAATATCCGGTCATTACTGCCTGCCTTAGAGTGTCTGATTTTGTGTTTGTGAGCGAAGAGTGAAGGAATACCAGAGATATTCAATTAGTGCCCTGATCCAGGGGTCCACTCAGTTCTCTGATGGACCATTATGAAGTTCTAGTATGTACCTCGATACTAAGGAAGAATGTGTGTGTGTCTGGTGGTGATTCTTCTTTTAAGTCCGCTAGCCTCCTGGTAAGAGCAAAGTAATGATTGGAGGGGAAATCAATTTGAGCAGGCAGCAGGCAAACAATTGGATTGTTTGAAGGGGAATCTTATTTTCCTGAGCAGGTCTGAAGAATTTCTAAGTTACAAATTACCTGTATGCACCATAATCTGGTTGCATCCAATTTTCCACAGACATGGCACTCATTTATCACTGGATCGTATGATCAGTCAATGTGTAGGCTGAAGTTAGGAGAACATTTAGTGTAATTGAAGATACGTATTACAGAGCCTTAAGAAGGTTTTACCTCCATCAAGATCCATTTCCTCTTCCTTTTTTTTTTATTGTCACACTTATACGTTTTAAATTATCCCCCAGAAATTATATTTAGAAAATAACTATTAAACAACAGAATCAGTTTTAAACGAATAATTGAATATGTAGGGGTTGACAACAGCTTACATTATTCAGCAGCTCTTGGCTTTTTTGGTCGCTCTGCGACATCCGTGTTTATGGCCATACCTCAAAAACAGGATATAAATGTGGATTGGACTTGGCCACTGGATGGAGCCTTTTATTTTAGTAGGCTGGGCTCTCATAAGCTATAGAGATGTTCTCGTAACTCTTTCCAGACCATTTGATGTAAACATTTTTCTTCTTTTCTTGATTTCTTCCCTTTATTCTATTACACCCCTTTATGTAATATAGAGTTATACATTAGAAGGTGTGAGAATTTGTGCTGTTTGTTAGTGAGGAAATATCCAAGTAACCAGAATTTCCATTTTATACTTGCTTTACTGCATACAACATGAAACTTCCCCTCTAAAGTGGTGAGATGTACTGCTGGTGGTACACTGGACCGTGATTAGATGAGACTTGATTGCTTAGTGCCTTTGTTTGAGGAATTAAAGAGGAGAAGAGATTTGGGGACATGTAAGAAAAGGGAGTTGCAACGTGAGAAGTCCGCACAAAATTATGAGAATATCCGTCAAGGGAATGAAGATGAGAGACTGGAAGGCGAGGGAACCATAAGGGCAAGCCAGACCAACGACAGAGAGAGACGTAAAGCTGTATTTCTGTCCACAGAGGGCAGGGGTGTGATGGAAAAGCAGCTAGGCCCACAGGCGCTCTGCCCCTTGATTAAATTGTCCGACTGGTGAATGAGGGAGGCAGTAACAAGAAAAAAGAGGGAGTGAGAGCAGGACAGAGAGTAACGGCCCAGCATTGGGAACACTTATAAAGAGCAAGGGTGTTGTTAAACACAAAAAAAAAAAGGGTGCCATCCAACCGCAGCATCCAGTAGTGGCTGAGAAATGAAGTGTGTGTACATGCACGATCGCATTCACACATCCATGCACCTACACATGTGCACGTGGTACTAACCTTGTAATGTGCCAATAAATCACACTAAGAGCTACATTGACCTTAGCTATCCTGCGCTCTCCTCCCAGCCCTCTGACTGTTTCCTGTCTTCCCTGTACTTTATGACACTCCGACACCAAAAGTGATGTCTATGTGTGTTATATGGGCACCCACACTGCTGATAGACTCCATTTATTTCCGACGTAAGTAAATGAGGTAGGGTAGATGTGGTTGTCCTATATTGATATTGAAGATGCTCTTATTGGATTGCAGTAGGTTGACATTTGCATGAATGTCTGAGATACAATCTCTTACTTAAGTTTTCATTGCCCTTGAAATTTTCTCTTCTTGTTTTGTTAAAGCCAACTGAAACATATTTCATTGGAATTAATTGTGTGCGAGGAAAACAATCGTTCGCCGACACAAATCCCAAAAGTGTAACATGCATGTGTATTCAACTCTCTTGGGTTAAACGTATAGTGAAGGATGTTCTTTTTCCTGGTGGATCATCAAAATAAGTGGTTCTCCTAATGGCAATCATTCTGTTGATATGTTTCCCAGCATGCACACTTTCAGGTGTATATGTGTGGTCAGAGATGGCAAAAGTACTCACTTTCCGTACTTGAGTAAAAGTACAGATACTTGTGTTAAAAAATACTCTGGTAAAAGTGGAAGTACTGATTAAACTTCTTTACTCAAGTAAAAGTAACAAAGTACAGGCTTGTAAATTTACTTAAAGTATAAAAGTAAAAGTAGAAACCACTTTTTTCATGCCGTTGCCTACATTTGAAATGGATGTCTGCCAATAGGACTAGATCTCCGTTGTGTTCATTTTCAATCATCTCGTCATCCATACTACTATGCTAACGCCACCGTCACTAAGCTGCAATGATTACCGCGAATGAATACCGCCGAATCTGTCGATTCATCTTGTAGTGGTGCGTCAAATGCAACGTAGATTCTCATCCAATTAGATTGAATTTGGTATTGATGACGTGAAAAATAATTACGGTAACTCCATTGAAATGATTCAAAACTAAAGTAACATTGAAATGATTCAAAACTAAAGTAACAAGCCAATTTTTTTAAAATGTAATGAGTAGAAAGTACAGATATTTGTGTAAAAATGTAAGGAGTAGAAGTAAAAAGTTGCCATAAAATAAGTAGTAAAGTAAAAATATCAGAAAAATCTACTTGAGTACAGTAACGAAGTATTTGTACTTCGTTACTTCCCATCTCTGTGTGTGGTGAGCTACAGTTTCAGCCAGTAAAGTTTGCCTTTCTCACCGCAGTTCCTTGAAAATGGCAGAGAGTCGTAACTGAAAAAGTGTCTATGAAGTGTATGAGGAGAAGGGAAAGGCCTCAGAAGAGAGAAACCAAACCAGAGTGTTTTTAGAAGAGTCTTTCACACGATGGAGTATACTGAAAACACATACCAGTGATGCCTCAGTTGCGAAGTTTCTACTCAACAAGGAAAGTTTGGCATGTTATTTGGAGAAATCTTATTCACATCATTCTTAGTAAAACGAGGAGAAATGGGCTTGTGCATGTTCTCGCACTCTTCTCTGGAGCGGGTACAGGGTTGTGCATGTGCATTTTTTTTAAGTAGAAATTCGCAGAAATCCTCCACTATACCCTTAATACTTTGTTGGACCATGTTTTACTGCAAGTCTAATCAGCAAAATAGATTGATTAAAACCCTATAAATATCTTTCATCAAGTCTGGCCACAGATTCTCAGTAGGTAGATCTGAACTTTGACTAGGTCGTTTCAAAACACAAACAATTTTTATTGCTATATCTTTTGCCGCTTAAATAGCTTTGTTTCCTGGATTTACCAATATTTTGCTTCATCTTCAATTCAATTCAGTTTATTTATATAGCGTCAATTCACAAAACATGTCATCTCAAGGCACTTTACAGTTCATCTTCTACCCTTTAACTCTGACCAGTTTCTCTGCTGAGGAAAAGTGTTCCCAAATTCATGACTATGCTACAGTCCCATAAAGTCATTTTAAAATAAATTGAAGTCTAACCTCTGCCTTAATTTTATTCATACAAACTGATCTGTAACTATTATCTTGTGTTATTAATGCTGCACGGTGACTTTTTCCAAGCTATTGTTGATGCTGATGTGTGTCAACCAAGTGCACTTATAGGCATCTTCTCCTGTCACACCAACCCACCATGTGTGACGGTGCCTTATACGTGGAGAACTATGTTTTAGCCTGACAGTGTAAGGTTAGCAAGAGCTTGGAGCTAGGTACATGCAGCACTATTCTAATGAGTTATTTCCGCTGGATGACCGAGGGGCAGTGGGATGTTTTTTGAGGCAGACCTTTGAATTTCAATGAAGCCGAAGTAAAGTCCATGCATATAAGATAAAAAATGAAATGGTTAGCAAATTATTTTTGGTAAGTTTTGGTTTGCTTTATGTTTCTACTTCTCAAAGGGTTTCTATGCATTTTTGAAAAGTAAGGAACATTTTTTTTGTAAGATCTGGATAAATATGGAAAGACTAATAAAGTTTGTATTTCCTGCATTTTTCATCTCTTTTTTCCAGATTTGTCCCATTCTTTTCTTTCATTGTGTCCACTCCTCCTGCGCTCACTCATTCAGGCCTCCTCCCTCTTTAGTTTCTTTCTTCTCTTGTACTCTTCTTCTTTATCAAAATGGCCTTCCTTCTTTTTCTTCTGTCATTGTGTCTCATCTCCATGTCGTCCCCCCTTTTAATAATTTTTCTTTCAACCCTTGAGTCTCACCTTCCTTCGATCTGTCCTCTCTTTTCTTGTTTTCTTTCTTGTTTTTTGGTTTAAGAAGGCTCCATATTTAGGCTAAACCTTACATTTGATAAGCTTCTGTTTAATGTATTGTTATTTTTCATTTAATTTCCTAACATTTGCTTCCACGTTACCATAGGAATCACTACGGTGCTGACCATGACCACCATCAACACCCACCTGAGGGAGACGTTACCCAAGATTCCTTATGTTAAGGCCATCGACATGTACCTGATGGGCTGCTTTGTCATGGTCTTCCTCGCCCTCCTTGAGTATGCCTTTGTCAACTATATATTCTTCGGGAGAGGACCTCAGATGCAGAAGAAGTTGGCGGAGAAAGCAGAGAAGGCTAACAACGAGAGAGCGGCCAAGTACGATGCAGCACGGGTAAGATTGGCCCAAACCTTGACACGCCTCACATTACAGCATACAAAGGGTTCCCATTTATTTTGAAAACACTGAAAAAGTTTTGCACTGACTAACTAGAAACATCTAATTTGGAATCCTTTTTGCAGTGACATTTAAGGTTCTCGAAATTTGCATGATTGTCATTTTAAAAAATCTGAATAAATATGGCAATCAGCATCAAAAACAAGCATCGTGATTACTTTAATGCTTTCTTTATTTCACATTAAAAAACCACATATAATTATGCAATATCCCCTTATTATCAGAACAAGTCTGAAGTTTGTCTTAAATCACGACGCTGTCACTTACAGTTATGCACAAAGACACAGAGAAAATCCAAAAGTGAACATAGCAAGAAGAGAAGATGACGGCATTCCAGGCTGGTTAATGTTCCATGTATAGTTTGACAAAGTGGATTTCCAGGAATGTGTCCCCAGATGTGGCTGAATATTTTCATCTCCTCAGGAGGCAGGTAGTAGGACCGCATCCCTAAAACGGTCCAATCAGATTAAAGGTCTTCGCCACTCACGCTCGGTGAGTTGTTCTTGCTTTTATTTCTCCAAATGAGGATCTTCAATTTCCTCAAGTCAACTCCGCCATCGCCCATCAGCCAACATGGATGTGATCAACATCTGGTTTTTGCCTTTGTGCAAAATATCTCTATATCCATGTGAGAAGAAAAGGCAAAAAAAAAAAACATCTCCATGACATTTACCAAAGTGAAGTTCATGCTTACATTGTGGGAACTGGTGATGCCGTGTTCTCCTCTCGTAGCTCATTCTTTATGCATGCTGCTTGTAAAGGCTCTCTCATTGAACTCATCAGAAAGTCATTTTTTATCACAGCGCATGTAAGATATGGTCAGCCTGACTTCCTTTAGGTAGTCACTGCAGAGGTCCCTCATCAAGCATCTCTCTACACTTGAAATGACCACAGATGATCTTGCAGTTAATTAGTGATCTATATGCACAATGAGAGACACTGGGAGACCCTACAGCACCCTTATGGGTTGGTGGCAGTCCCTTATTAATTTTATTCATGCTGTTTTGTGCATGAGTTTGTTTTTTCTCAAGAAAGTACTTGAAAGATGTTGCTGTGGAGGTCAAAACACAAAGGAACAATTTCTATGAAGTCTGTCTCTATTTCCTTAGAAATTCACTGCCTCTGTCATTTTATCTGACAAGTGGATTAAAGATATACTTTATTTTTAATTAGTTACTTTGAATACTAAAACAGCTTGATTATATGTAGCAACTATATCCTTATTATGGGTGAAATGTAAAAGATATTAATTGGATATAAAAACTCTTTACAAATCAGAGGATTTTTTTCCCAATGTTTTTGTTGAATTTTGTTCTCTCTGCACAGATAAAAAATTGTCAGCTTGGTTGTTTAAATAGAGAAAAGCATGGGTCAGTGTAAGCGTCAGGACAATTTTAGTAGGATAAACAAAATCTCATTGTTTATATCAAAATATTTTAACCCCAAAAATTGAAACATCCACGCATCTAATTGCTTTTATCAAAAAACTGAAAATAATTTCTAATAATATGCTATGAAATGATGCTACATGTTGCTAGAGATTTTCCATCATGTTAAGTAACAAAGACGTAAACTCTTGTGTATTTGTCTCAAAGCAGCACAATCTAAAAGTGTGTTAATCGTTTGTATAACTTTTTTCTTTTATAACTTTTCCAACAGTAATTTTTATGTATATTATACTTCAATAAACTGTAAAACACATTTGAAAACTGTTCAAAAATGGGTAGATTTAAATAAAATTCAACTTTTGTTTTTCTTTAGCAAAAATGTGGGACTTCACCAGTTGCTACATTTGCATGAAGAATCAACTTTCCACTCTTCATTTCTGTTCATCTGTTTTGTGGAGCACTCTTCATAGGCATGAATTATGATGTACAGTGTGGTTTTTTTTGTGTTTTGGATATGTTTTAGATCGTATTAAGAATCAAGAATAATAGCCCACCAAATGGACACCTTGCAGTTATGAGTGCTTTGATAACAGTTACAAAGTTTGTGCCTTAATTATAAAATGGTAATTACACCAGCTAATTTTTTTAATCAGTGTTATAAATAGGGATCGGCAATTATTTGGAAACATGCTGATAGTGGAGATTGATTATTGAATTAAAATTTTACTTGATATACTTGAAAATGTTCTTAAAACGCTTCTACAAGGGTGCTTTAATATTAACTATAGACTTTTTATAGGGTCTAAGGTATTTATATACAGATTTTTTTGGCTTTATTTTGTGGTAGATGAGTTGAGGATAAATTAAGTGGGGGTTTAGTATGTCTCTTTCATCTCTTGAGCGTTTAGTTTGCTCTTCTACAGTTCTCCTAAAGTGAAACTACTTTATAGAATAGAATAGTATAGAATAGAACAGAATAGAATAGAATATCCCTTTATTGCCCCTCAATGGGGAAATTCTGGTGTTTATAGCAGCAAAAAGATTATTGAAAATAGAAAAATGTATAAGAATAACATAATAGCACATAATCAAAAGATAAACATAAAACTGTTCACCTGGAGAATAAAATAACCAACATGCAGCTATGGACATTATGTTTAATAACTTGAAAAGCTTTATCAAATCTTACTATAGAGCTATCAAAATGTTTCAGCAAACCTAAAAAAAAAAGAAATTCAGTAGAGACAGAGCAGATGTTGCATTAACCTTAATGAGAATGGTTTAAAGAAATGGCCACTTATAACATAAATACAAGGAACCTTGTGGCAGCCTGTGTATCTCTAAGATGTCTGGACAAGTTTACTGTATTTTGAAAACTGATTTTTCAAATTCTGTAAAAGTTCTAATGATGCAAATAAACAATAAATACTTACGAGAGACCAAAACCTTTTAAATGTAACTTAAACAAAAAAAGAAATCAATTTCTGGTGACTACTTTAAATCAGGACACCCTCATTTTATTTCTAATTGAAATGGCTAACTTGACATTTAATACTATGCATTTTGATGGTCTGACCATTTTAAACCTTTGACATTTAGGGAATGAAAAGAAAGGAGGTAGCAGCTTACCCCTCAGACTCATCAATGAATTATTCTCCTTCCTAAATGGAAGACATTCTAGTTGACACGATTACTTATGTGCCTTCCTCCATTGTTTGATCAAGTCTATTCTTCTGTCTTTTGACAGATGACAGAGAAACACTTGTCTATTTTGAAAAAAAAAAAACATGAGTAAGACAGGATATGACCCACAGGCGTTTTATCAGATTGGCTACATTTCAAAATAAGAGGGTAGCTGTTTAAACAAACTAAGAGGAAGGGCATTCCAACTTTTTTTTATGTAAATCTTAAGGTAGGATGGTGTTTCATAGACTGTCCTAGATTTTACATAAGTTCATACTCAGGGACAAAAGCCATTGAGTTATTTTAATCTTCTCATTCAGGCCCATTTAATGTTTTAAAAGAAAACCCTTTCGTACCAAAACAACCACTCCCAGACTGTTTGGGGAAGTTGGTTTCTTTACAGTTTTAAACAAACTCTAGACTGGCTTTTTATGATGTGGATGTGATCTGACCTGGATATTATTCAAACAGGTCTAGGCTGTATGATTCAAACTTGATCCAAAAACTTTTTATAGCCATGGTATAGTAAACAGACTAAGTCAAGTCTACATAGAGCACTAAGTCCTTTTCTCACCATAGGTTCTAGTTATGACCACCTATAGTGGTATTTGCGGGAGGGACAGCATCAGTGAAGAAGTCAATATAGGATAATACAGAGGACTTGTATTCCTCAAGATCAGGTTTTCTCCAGTCTGAGTGCTTCAGGCCTGTAAGACTGACTGATGGGTTTGGTCTGGCAAATAAGGGTTCTGTTGGCAGAGATCAGCTTCACAAAAAGGTAATTTGACATGTCGGAGCGCAGAGCAGCCTATGCCTCTGGAAGTTTACAGTAGGTCTGGTCTGGTCAAATATTTAGTAAATAATTTGGATGGATGGATGGATGGATGGATGGATGGATGGATGGATGGTTCCTAAACAAAAAAACGACTTAAGCAGATACCAACGTTTTTTTTTTTGAGGAGCTCAACAGAGCTTATGACCAAACTATTATCAAATCAACAAAATCCTGACAGTTCTTTGCTATTTCCATCCATTTTTTCCTTCTTCTTCTTAATCCATTCAGGCGGAACCGCACGGCCACGGAAACATCCTGCTGACCACGTTAGAGATCCACAACGAAGTGGCAGGAGGTGAGATCACTACCAGTGTGGCAGACATTAGGAACTCTCAGTCCATGGTGCAGTTGGACAGCACGGCTTCCTCGCACATCCAGTACCGCAAGCAGAGCGGCGGGGTTGGGCCACGCTCTGCCAGCCGCCACTCTCTGGACCGCTCTGCCCAGATCAAACGGAGCCGCTTACGGAGGCGATCCTCTCAGCTCAAAATCAAAATCCCCGACCTGACGGACGTGAATGCCATCGATCGCTGGTCTCGTATTATCTTCCCGTCCGTTTTCTCACTATTCAACCTGATCTATTGGCTCTACTATGTCTGATCCAAACTGTTTTTGGTGTTCATTATTGTTTGATTTTGACTTTCATTTCATTTGTTCATTCTCCTTTTTTTGTTGCTTTTGTACCTGATGGAACCTGTCGAGTCAAAGACTGCAACAAAGCAAGATTAAAGAGAAAAAACTGACTTAAAGACTATTATGTTTTGGACCAAGTTCTCATTGAAATTGTTTTTTATATATGCATACATATATAAATATATATATTTGCAGTCTTTGAATCCTGAGCACTGAGGTCTTTTTACTTTTTATTTTAAGTATGTACTGTAATTTGGACTTGTAACTGTTTTTCCCCAACATATGCCCTTATTGATAATGTGTATATAGTAAAAAAAAAAAAAAAAAAAGAAAGCCAGCAAATTAAAAAACATATATTAGAAAAATATATTTAAAAAAATATGCGAAAGCAGTTAAAGTCAAGATTTTTTTTTTTTATTGAAAGTTGATCGGGTGCAGGCAATATCTAAAATTAACCAATTAAAAGTGGTATGCTATGCATTTTTAAAGTAGGCACAGTGTAGAAACAGAATAACATATGCATTTATAGTGTTTATAATACTCTTGATACTATTTGCAATTTCCTGTGCATTGATCTGGTAAGCAAAATTTTTTCAATCTGTTCTTTAAGATGATTTTTGTCTCAGGTTTTGAATTTTTATTAAGTTTGTTGTGGACAAACACAAAGAAAATAAGCACAATTTATGAATAAAACTGCCGTCTTTTCAGATTAAAAGCAGAACTTCATGTGATTGCATGACAAATTTGCACTCAGATTTTCAAAACTTGCTTATAAAACTTTTTCTTTTATTTTACTTTCTATTCAGAACAACTGCCAATGGCCCTTTGGGGCAAAACTAGTTACTATTTAACCCATAAAGTATTATGATATTTTTGTACTCCTTGTCTTCCGGTATTTATTTTATTTCCTAACCTACTTTGTTTTATTCAAGACCAGTTCATTTATTGTGATAGTATGGTGGATTTACATTTTTTTTTTTGTACATAGGTGTGTATATATGTCTATACATACACTATGTGTTTAACCCAAAAAAAAAAAAAAAAGAAAACAAAATTTGTGATTGTCACTGACTCCCAGTCAGTTTATTTCATGGGAAAAGATAGGGGTTATTGTAACAAGTCAGTTCAAGCATCTTATCCATTTTGGAGCATGTCTTAGCTCTCTGAATTCCTTACTTAGAGCTACCCTCACAATGATTCAAAACCCGTAAAGATGTGTAAAAAGGAATAAAATAAATGTATCTTTTGTTGCAGCAGGAACATTTAACAGTGATGCATTCTTAAAAGTCTAACCTAAAAATTTTTATTTTTTGCTTTTCAACACCTTTACTTGCACTTATCAGAACATCCTACATGAGGTTCAGAACACACTCATACTAATGTTGAGGTTAATATTGGTGATTGTAAGGCCTAGTTTATGCTCAGAAACCAGGTCGAATTTAACACAGATATGCCCACCCCTCCATTCCGCAGACACTCTGGTGCACCTCCCCAAAATTGTAGGGGATCGCAGACAGTGCTGCTGATAGCTTCGAAGGGAGGACAGAAAGGAGGCCTCTGATTGTTCAATTTTACATCCACTCTACACTACAGTATGCGTATTTCCTGTTTGGTACCTAATGGCAAATACTCTGGCTGTAGTGTTGTCCACAACACCTGGCACACCTCAGACATTATTCCAGACATTGCACAGGACGCTAGTTTGTAGGTCTCTGTTGATTTGCACCCGAAGCCAAAACACGAAGCGACAAGGCCAGTCTTTGGGGAACACTCACGGGTGAACTGTGTGTCTTCCGTTGTTGGATGAGGGGTTGTAGAAGGCAAACAAGCTCGTCAAACCCACACACGGACACCCACAATCCTAGCTAGTTCATGATTGTCCCTCTTGCGTTGTGGTGTGGAATCACATAGCGCAGACCACGCTTCCAAATTTGGCATAAATCAAAAATATCTGCATAATACCTGCAACAAACTAACTGCGACACACAGAGTATACAGAGCCCTTTAATCACACATCTTTAGTTCTGCGATCTGAGGTTGTACACTTGGAAAGCATAAAAGATCCATGCAACCTAAAAAGTTACAGCAGAATTCAACTTCCTTTTAGTATCAGTTATTGTTGAACTGAACTAATGTCATTGGATAGAGTTGGATGATATAAACTCCACTGTTAGCCTTAATACATTGTTTGAATTTGGTTCTTGCAAAACAAAAAGTCAGTTTCAGGGCTGCAACTAGCGATTATTTTGCAAATTGAATAATCTGTCGATAATTTTTTGATTAATGAATTAATAATCGGATAGTAAAAGGTTCCTTTAAAAAGGCTTTTTTTTTTATCAAACCTGGTGAAACTAAAAGATTTCCACTTGAGGAGTTCTGGATAGAGCATATTACATTAAACATATTTTTTAAATCTTAAATGCAAAATGTTTATACATTTGTTTTTATTTTGATATAATTACTGTTCGTAGTGGGTTATTCTGTCAGCTAAAGGCATGTTTCAAAGCCCTTTTCAGTTTCATCCTCTTTATTCAACCTAAAGCCACTAATGTTTTAACAACATCCGTAATAAAAAAAGGTCATGATCTGAAAACATTTTATCACACCCTGATGTCCAGGATAGCACAAAATGTTACTGTGGTGGGTAAAAATTAAAAGCGGACTGTTTGGGTAAAAAAAAAAGTAAATGACTAAAAGGCGATATGAAGTTCTATCATCTATAAAGGTACTCAAAAGAATAAATGATTCATTTATTTTAAGACTTTACACACATCTTTATCACAGGCAAAATTCTGGAGTTCCACTCCATCTATTGTATGTACTGAAAAGTGAGCTCTGCATTTGTTGCTGAATGACACCAATAGATTTCACAGAACACAAAGATGGCCCACGATAACCAGTTCGTCGGGTAATTTTAAGCACATACTAGCATTGAATGTATCAGTTCCATTTTTCAGGGAGAGGATAATGAGCCATGGTCATCATTTCTCCATTAGAATGTAACCCACCCCTTCTGACAAGTGATTAGAAGAAATGAGGCCAGGGACTGATTTTTTTTCCCATTTTGCATGTGTTTGATGAGAAAAATAGACACAGAGATGTTTAGATTGGAGTGCATCTGTACACCATTTATTTTCTGTGCTGCTTGCTGAGCTGTGGACAAATGTCAACTTATAACAGTTTTGTGGCTTAAAATGGCTCCTCTGTCTGTGCTTTTTTTTCTCTGACAAAACTGTACCATTCCACCTTAGGTCGCAAAGCAAACAGTTACAACCTGGTTGTGCACGTTCAAAGCAATTCTGTTCATGCATCAGATTATGTGCATGTATGAGAAGTGTTGAGTAAAAAAAAAAAAAACAGCATACTTGATAAGGGTGAGTTTGGGCACAAAGAAATAAATAATTGTAACATGTACAGTCTAGAATATGACAAAGAACTGAATGTATAGTACTTGAATAATCAAAGCACAAATGTAATTGGATTTCTGGAATAGTGATTAAAAGGGGGGCCTCAATGACTATGTAAAGGAGGTCCATTTTCTACTGTGTAGAGGTGAGAAATGAACAGATGCCAGTCATTATTTAAAAATAAATGCTATGAAAATAAAGAAAATAAGACGAAAACCTTTAACGACTCTCAAGGAATTACAGGAAAGCTCGGCCTCACTAGCTGTTGGACTCTATTCTAAAAAAGTCCAATTTATCTGGAAATCAGAAATACTTCCGCTGACTTTGTGTGAGATCTGGCTACCTCTAGAATTTGATACGTACTGTAAGAACACAACATAAATAAAATAAAATAGTTTATGTTGTTGGCACAAATTCCGTTTTGTCTCCAAGTTTATAAAATTCCTAGAAACAGTCTGCCCAGAGACATTTCTAACTGGTGTGTTTACAATTGTAGTCTTTATTGTGACAAACAATAACTTTTTCTGTGCAAGTTGATATTAATGATCTTCCAGGCAGAGAGGCTATTTCAATTTAAAATACTGCTTCTGGGTTGTATGTTGAGATTTAAAAATGGTTTACTGTATGAGTTCTAATTTTAATAAACTGCAAAGTGAAATTGTGTATTTCAGGATACGGTTGTTATAAACTCTAGTCTACAAATCTTTTTGATCATGCATGCAGCAACTTTTACCTTGGAGCAATCCAAAGAAGATCTTTTAAGCAACACTCATTGACAACAGCTGCCAACTGCTCATTTTGGAGATTACTCTATGCCACGTGAGCCTACGTTAAGAAGAAAAAAAAAAGACAAAAAACAGCCAACAAAGACTTCAACTGTTGTATGGCCTTGGTCCCATAATAGAATGTGAAATGTTCTGTGCTGCCACAAAATGTATTTAGGCTTAGATTTATACTGTATATCCATATGTTTCTCCTTTTTTCAATAGAGTACCATGTTATCAAATAAATGATATACATTGTACCTGTGCATTTGGTATTGCAAGCATGCATGATACGCCATAAACTCTTTGCTTGTACTGTAAAAAAATGAAGATACAACACTTTACTGTGTAAGTAAAAGAGATCCTTGCAAAAAATGTTAATGGAGTTTGAAATCAACACAACCAAAGCATAGCTAATATCTAATACATCATCTCAATGACCGTTCAATACGCTGAACTTGACAAGTCCCATTTGAAAGTTATTGGATGTGAATAAGAAAGTTCATGAATGTAAACCAGAGGGATGGTGTGTAAGGCTATAGTAGTTCCATGGTGAAATAAATTTTGGAAAAGAGAACAAAGAAAAACAATATGGAGGCTTTATTATTGAGTGTCAAAATGTGCACATTTTATATTTCTATTAGTTGCTAGAAAAACAGATTTCTGCATTGGTAAAAAAGGATTAGCTATTTGTAAAACCAAATGAAAACAAAAACGGTTGACCTGAACCAATATTTGTGTCTCTATAGGTGTCTTTTACACATAACCATTGTAAACACAAGCAATACGATCCAGAAATCAACTTAATTTATGTTTAATAAAAATTAAGGACTCTTTTTACCCCTCAGTGAATTGCATTAATACTGTTGCTTTAAGGTAAACTGCTAAATAATTACCATCGTGCACTGACTTAGACTTATAACTTTTACATTTCTTTAAACAAATTTTATGCCAGCCAGTTTTCATGTTCTTGGCGCTGATGGTTCGTTTTTTTTTGCTTTGCTCCTCGCTCCCCTGTCTAATTGGTTCTGCGGTTGATTAACGCCGATCATTTCCATCAGCGCCAGGTTATTTGAGCATTTTGTTGAGACTTACTCTAGCTTTCTGAAGTCTGATAGTGACCACGATCATCTGAAAATAGGATGATTATTAGAGTGAGTCACTTACCTGGTTTAACAGTTCAGTCCATCCTCTCAATCATAGGCAGGATAAGCCGATGCACTGCCAACGTCAAGCCATCCAGATTGTCCCCAATGCAGCAACCCCAGTGAACAGGCTGGACTCTGGTCCAGGACAGGGATTCAGATCAGACCAAAGTAATATTGAAACCCAGGAGTCCGCAGTCTTGTCAGGGGTTCCGATCCACTCAGGAACGGACAGATCCGGGTTCCAGGAATCCATCAGTGCGAGAAGGCAGGTTCAGAGTCCTGTGCGTCGAGCATCCAGCTCAAACAGAAGCGCACCTTGGAGGTCTAACAGAGGTTCAGGCGAGCAGACCAGACAGGGCCACTGGGTGAGAGGGAACGGAATCAGGAAAACACAATCACTCTGGAAATGCTGAAACACTCTCACCACTGGTTAATGATAAAACTAGCCTGAAGACATTGGCTCAAAAATAAACTCCTCACTTGATTATACACCTTGGAAATAAACTTAAAACTAACAAAACTGACAGACAGAACACTTAACAGGAATCAAACGTGAACCAACTGAAAGCAAACAATGATCTGGCCATGATAGCAGGAACTGAGCCCAATGTAAGGGAAACTGGCAGGTGGGTGAGATTAGTGATAATTAGAAGCTGGAAAAAGTTAAGCAGGTGAAAGGCATTAGTAATTAAGGCCAGCTATCACAGCAGATCACGACACCAGTA